CTCAACATGGGATGGAGCAGTTCGCATTGGGTCACTTCGGAGTTCCTCAAGCAATTGTTTCAAGTTCTTTATCTCTTTCCGAACACTTCCAAAAGTGTCATTACCCCATCTGCGTAGCTCTTGTGACAGATTTTGAAGCTTTGAACTCATCTCCTCCACCGTAGCACAGGGCGCCCCCGGATCCCAGCCCTGTCTGATCATCTCTTTGAGCTCCACATGTGTTTCCCACATCAGCTCGTACTTAAAAGTACGTTGTGTTCTTGGCTCTTGATGGAAATCAAGCTCCAGAAGTAACGGAGCATGGTCAGAGGACGCCGCAGTAAGATGTGTTAATGAGGCTGATGGAAATCTTGCTAGCCAATCTGCATTAACAAGTGCTCTATCAAGTCTGCACCTTGTGTAGGTTCCACCGGTCACCTTTTTCTCAAAAGTCCAGAACGTGCCTTTGTAGCCAATGTCTAGCAACATGCAAACATCAGTGGTTTCTCGAAACGCTTGGATTTGGGCATTGCTTCGTTCCCCAACCCCCTCGTGTTCTTCCGGACGTAACACTTCATTAAAATCGACAATGCATAACCATGGCAAACTGCTCAAAGTACTTATGTTCTTCAAAACCGTCCAGGTCTGATGGCGCAAGTGTGTCTGGGCTTCTCCGTACACGCAGGTCAGCCTTCACTTATCTTGCCCCTGTTCCTCGACAGAAACATCTAAATGATAAACCGAGAAACCAAGAATTTCAATCTTTATTGAGTTGTTCCAAAAAAGGCCTATTCCACCACTTCTACCATTACTGTCAACTGCATAAGACTTATCATACCCAATAGAACTAGCCATAGCTTCTACCCTAGCACCATCAATTTGTGTCTCAACAATACATAGCAGGGTAGGGGTAAACTTCCTCGCGAAATCGCGAAGTTCACGAACTGCAGCGGCTTTACCCGCACCGCGGCAGTTCCAACAGAGGATACTCTTTGGGCTCGGCGGCGCCCCTCTCCGGAGCCCGCCAAATTTGTGTCAATCCTTCCCTGAGGTCCAATCTTCCCCGAGTTCTTTTCAACTTCGGTTCCCACTTTAGCTCTCTTGGTCTCCTGCTTGGCACTCGGACTTACTGGCGTTGCAGTTGAAGGAAGGGCTAGCAGATTGCTCGTTCCATGTGCCGATGGAGCAGGTGAAAGTGCGTGCGTGCTGTTCTAAAGCGTAACTTGCTCCGACGCTCTTTTCCTGTTATCTGCATCCGCCATCACATCATCACCATCTTCGGGCAGGTCATCTGCATGCTTTGGTTCTGATCCCGTGCCACGGTTGTCAGCTCGACCACCACCGCGCCCTCCTTTTCTGCCCCGTCCTCCTCGTCCTCCTCCCGGCCCCTGTCTAGTACGCATAGCCCACGAAGCCCTTAGGTTTTTGAAAACCAGGGCTGACGGAGGATGGATTCCATTGCCATGCTCTTTAAAAAGGTGTCCCATCATGCCACAAACAGCGCACCATCCGGAAGCTTCTCGTATCTAACTTTGTGGATCTGGCGTTTACCATCACGGATCAAAAATACTGCATTTTTTAGGGGCTTAGTGACGTTAATCCTTACCCAAACCCGATGGAAATTTCCAGCAAAATCCTAAGATTGCGGTTCGGTGAATAGGACCTCTCCCACCTTCGCAGCCAAAGAAGGTACTAGGTGAGCGTATAGGGGTGGTACATCATGAATTTGGGCCCAAATCTCAATAGTATCGAGTTGAACAGTCGACGGTTTCGCCAAACCATCATATGGCTTCATAATGACGGCATCTCCCCTGAAGTGCCAAGGTCCCTCTTGGGTAACCCTCTCCCAATCTCCTAAGCAGGAGAATTGCACCATATAAAGGTTATCCTCAAGTGGCTTGAAAGTCACCTCTTGGGCAAGATCCCAGGCTGATCTCATATTCCGAAAGAACCAGTATTAGGAGTAGGTTTTGACGGAGTTTACTTTTTCAAGAGCTATCCACCGTGCCGCCTCCTCTGGTGCCTCCTTTTCATCAAAAACCACATCATCTAGGTCCTCCTCACGCAGACCTAGTTCCTTCATCATCAATTGCACCTCGTCGATCTCAGCTGCTCCGGCCTTGGTCGATCCCGAAGCCTCGTTCGACGCCATCTTCAAACCCTAACCCGATTGAAACTTGATCGGGCTTTGAAGGAACCCTACCCCTCTGCCCCGTCCCGCCACATCCAAGAGAACCAGAGGCGCTGCAGAACGCGCCCCCGTCCTTGAGGTCGGGCTGTGGGATGGGAAGCAGCGGTTGGGGACGATGGTCTCAACGGCGGCGAACAAATCGCCCCGGGAGGAGAAAACCCTAACGCGAGGGAACTTTTTGCTATCGTGAAATTTGTATTTTTCTAGATACTAGAGAGAAAGCAGAGCATGGGCCAAATCCCTCCCTCGTGGGCCGGAACGCAACCGAACAGAGAACACCAGCGCTTCATATATATACATGGCCGTCCCTTCTTCCCTCTGAAAAACTCTCTGAAAAAATACCCCGCCTGACCGGCTCACCTCCGCCGCGTCCACCCCCACCCGGCTGACCGTCGGCGGCGCACCAGCCCTCTTCGCCCCGTACCCCCGCCCGACGGCCCCGCCGCCAAGAACTCGAGCTTTCTTGGCACAAGAAGCCGTTTCTTGGCCCGAGACAGCGTTTCTTGGCACAGGCCAAGAAACCCGGCGCCGGCGAGATGCCCAGAAGGCCCCGCCGGGTCCAGGCGCACCCCGTGGCGGCGCAGATCGGAGAGGAGGGGCGTCCCCTGCGCGAGCGCCTCCGGTTCGCCGTTCTGCGCGGGATGGCGCGCGGAGGCCCCGCCGTCCGCGCTCTGCTTTGGCCGCTCTGTCGCGCGGTGGCGCTCGGCGGCCGGCATCTCCTCCGCGTCGTTCGGCGCGGAATGGCGCGCGGAGGCCGCCATCTTCTGCGGCCTTTTCGTCTCCTGTGGCGCGGCCTGGAGCTCGGCGGCCACGCCCTGCAGCGCGCCGCGCTCGCCCTCGGCCGCCCTCTTCGTCTTCTGTGGCGCGCCCTGGAGCTCGGCGGCCACGCCCTGCAGCGCCGCGCGCTCGCCCTCGGCCGCCGACTCCTCGTCTCCCGCGTCCGACAGCAGGAGGCTGTGTACGGAGACGGCGATGGCGAGCCCAGGACGCCGCCGAGGCCGACAGCGCATGGCACAGCTATCTTCTACGATCCCCGTGGGAGTCGACCTCGTCCTCCCTCGCTGCAGCTGCCTCCGCCGCCGCTACCTCCGCCGCCCCAGCCTTCTCCTCCTCCTCCGGTGGTAATCTACAAAACAGAGTAAAAACTTGATTCAGAGAAAACTTTGTAGGTCCTGAATATTGTAGCAGAGAAAACTTGTGTCAGGTTCAGAGAAAACTTTGTAGATCCTGAATGGTACATCGTAGGAAGGGTTCTTGTGTCAGGTTCAGAGAAAACTTTGTAGCTGTCTCAGGGTTCAGAAAGGTTTAAAATCAGAGGAACATCCTAACCATTCAAACTGCTCGATTTCCATCCTGTTTAGCTTGTCGATGGGGAGGTGGTGCCCAAGGTTGTACACGCTCTCTATGTCAAGTATTGCTCAGCTAGGCTAAAGTGCTCGCAGAAGACGACGCTATGCCATTTTTGCATGTTCGAAATACAGAGGTCACCAAACTTCACGGTCCCCATCTCTGATGTACGTCGTCAGTTCATATCTCTTACATTACCGAAATCTTCACTTGAGTTTTGAGCTCACCTTATTTTTCCTTTCCTAGATGTTTGTACATTGTATGCAGTTCCACAGCGAGGAAGGGGCGAGTGTGCGGTGCAATGAGCCTGGCTGCAGCGTTCGGGTACGCCCAGGCCAAGATTTCAGACGCCATGTTTACTTCTGCCACCAGCTGCCACCTGATTGGTGGAGAGCTTTTGTTTGACTCCTGCTCAACCTATCAGAATGTATGTTCTCAAAACTCTTAATGATAAATTCTTGCCATGTTTGCATCTAAGTAAGTTAGTTAGTGTATCTGAAAAAGATTCATGTAAATTGATTGACATGCATTGCTGGGCTGATTCTAGTGCCAAATAATCCAAATTTGGTGCAAATTGCAATTGTCTCTTCTCTGCTAAATATTGTGGTCTTTTTTTTTGGGAAATGCTAAGTATTGTGGTCTGATATGCAGGCTTGCAACTGATGTTAGATATCCAGCAGCTTTGATGATATAGAGGAGAAAGCTCCTGTACAAGTGATACGGCCAAGAAAGATCTTACGATTGGTGGAAATGTAAAGTAGCTGTGACGATGAGAGGACAAAACTGATCTTGGGGGCTGCTTGATAATGTGTACTGCAATTATGACTCATGTTCTGCAATTTAAATCTCTCTGAAACAGCAGCTTTAACGAATTTCGAAGTTGAAATTTGAAATCCGTATGTATGTTGAGATGCGGATTTATCTCTTAACATTTTAGTGCTGATGAATGGTTGATTTCCTGTCTACAATCTATAAGTGTTTTAATACTGCTGCCCCAATTGGTAGGAAATAGTACCATTTTAATGCTGGCTTACAACTTTCTCATATTCGAAGGAAATATCATTTCAATTCCTTCTTATAATTCCAAACCATCAGGGTTACACTAGAGTAACATGTCAATCTGGACATTATAGTAGAAAATATACTGATTACAAACTCATCTGATCATTCGGAAATGATGAAAAATTAATAAATATACCAACACACCACCACAAGATGTCGACACGAGCATCACAGAAGAAATTAGAAAAAAAATGCCAAGAACATAGAACAAAGAAGTATCCATATCACTAAACTTTTCTGTTGACAGATTAAACTCTAAACTATTTATTCAGCGTGAACTAGTTTCAATCTAGCCTGTAAGGACCAGGGCCAAGCGATGAGTACACCCTGACACAGTCCAGGTGGTCCCTCGAATATTTTGTTGATGACATCCTCTAGTAACCCCAGCAAGTCACCCCTTTGTTGGCTTATTGACCGTCGATCAGTTTTCTTCAATCCATCCTGAAGCCAAGTTCATCTTCCTAAGATCAGGTGTAATCCACATTGGAGCAGGAAAATTTGACCAAAGCTGCGGAGACTCAAGGTCCTCCCTGCTATTATCATCCAAGTTTAGAATTCCCATATCACGGTGATTATTCTTAAATCCCAATGTCCATAAATAATTATCATCAGTGAAGTAGGCATGATTTGCCGAGAGAGATGGATATTCTTCAGCACTGAGACAAAGAGATTGATTATGCCCAAGAAACAACACATGGTCACTCAAGCGATTTATTTCCTTCAGTTTACTTCCCAAAGGGTCAAATTCATATATTTTATATTCCGTACTGTTCCAAAACACAGATGACCCTGGTTCAGGTTCTAAATCATAATCCTGAAAGATTCTCCAAACAAGCAGCAGATCGCCCAATGGAGCTTGAGCAATGTACATGTACCCACAGTGATGCATTTCGCGCATACTTATAATCATCTCCATTGTGATAACAGGCCCACTGAAATCAAAAGCATGGAGTTCTCCGGTTCCAGTCACTGCATACAACAGGCCATCTTTGTAAGTGCAGTCACTATAGTCTTCATGAGGTGGCAGCCAGGTCCACTTATCATCCCCAACCCTTGCAAAAGAGAGCTGACGCACTGGATTATGGATGAGCACGACAATGTAGCTTCCAGTGGATGTATCAGGGAAAACAAACGCTTTATAGTGGAGCTCGTGCCGCAGCTTGTCAAGAGCAAAGATTGATGGCGACCTATAAGCACCACGGGTTCCAGTGTGCCTTGAGAACTCATACTTGTGGAGAGCACCATACTCATCAACTATGGGGTTCACCTGCTCGATGGTGATCACTGATGGGAGAGCAATCTGTTCACATGTGATGGGATTGACAAGGTGCATCTCAGATCTGTCGTCAACAGTTACCAGCCAGCCATGTGAGGACCCGATTAAACACCTAGTGCGTATAGGCGGCTCCGGGAGAGTTAACTTGTACGACCTCTTCTCCGCGAGGCTGTAGAGGCATGCAACACTCTCACCAGCGGATTCGGAAGTGTAGAGGAGGCATGGCGTCTGCTGGAGTTTGTACTGCCCAAGGCTCCGTAGGCTTGTGTATGCGGAGCGCCAGGAGGAGCAGACAGAGCCGGCACGCACAAGGTCAGGGATCTCAAGGGTGGCAAAGATACCCATCAAGATGTCCGGAGGCAGCTCCGGCAGTGTGCCTAGTGTAGTCTTCTTGGTCAGTTGTAGCTCAACATGTTCAGCTTTGCAGAATTTCTTCAGTAACCTGGGAGTGAAGCCTAGCAGCTTTGGCAAATTTCTGAAGATTAGGGTGCACAAATACGTCCTGTGTATAGCAAGCTTCCCTAAGCTCATTATCCTGGCAACACTACATGACTCCATTGGAGAAGAGTCTCTGCAGATATCTTCTGCTTCGGCCAAACTGACAAATCTCTCTGCAGATATCTTCAGCTTGGGCCAAACTGACAAAAAATTTCAGTAAGTTGAACGCAAATTTCTGCAGAGGAAAGGCTGGCTCCTGGCGATACTTATATACAGATAGATCACCAGCCGATTCAAATTCCAGTAGGAGAAGCAAATCCGAGGCCAAGAACAATACGGATATGGACTGAATCCGATTCCCAGGGCGCTTCTAGTGCTACAACACGGACTGGCACTCGACAAAGATTCCGACTTGTGCTGAATTTCGGGCGAGCCTGTTCCTGCAGGAATTCTGAGTCACGCTCCATGTTCTTCCCCGGCAAGCAAAGGGCAAAGGAAGAGCACTAACCGTCGGCGGGCGACCAGAGGGGATTAATCGGCCGGGGGAGGAGCAAGCTGGCTTCGAACTGTGGCCAGCCGCCGACGGCAACGGGTATCTTGTTGGTCCGAACTTGGACAGCGAGACGGCGATTCGAGCCGCGGGGAGGAGCAAGCTGGATTCGCGCTGCCGGCCGCGGCGGTGGTGGCGACAGGCGGCTGCGCTGGGATTGGGAGGGGTGGAGCGGTGTGAGGTGAAGTAGCTTCTGGGTCCAGGGAACAAGGCGATTCGTGCCGCGGTGGTGAACTTCTGCTTCGCGCCGTCGTCAGCGGCGGTGGTGGCGACAGGACGGCGGCGCTCGGAGTGGGAACGGTGGAGGCGCGGGGCGGCGTGAGGTGGAGTGGTTTTTTCTTTTCTGTGCTCGCATTTTTCCCTTTTTTTAGAGCGGAGGCGTCAACGGCGTCAGGCCCACGAAGCCATGGCAGTGCATAGCCCCCTCCCCCTCCCATCTCACAAAAATCATTTTGCAAATTCTCAAAAAAATAATCATTTTGCATTTGCTAAAAAAATGTGCATGTCTCAAAAAAATCATTTTGCTCTAACAAAAATCATTTATTTGTTTTCTCTAAAAACATTTGTGTACTCAGTAGCAGGTTTGGCCATGTTGACTCTGTCTATTATCCGTTGGCCTGAACCTGGCTCCCACAATTATTAACACTAGTCGTCAACCCGTGCATTTGCACGGGCTAGACACAAAAACATTGATTATAGTTTAATTTCACATAATAACCATTTTAACTTAGTCCGGTCGTCAAACTTACATACAATTAACTTGTAGGTAGAAATCAATTTCACTTCACTTTGGAACCTACTTCAAAGTTTCTTGATTATTATATTAATTGTTGTTAGATATGTGAAGGAAATGATTTATTTGTCTCTAGAACATAGTAATTAATTCCTTGACATTTTTCTATAGAACTACTACTACGCTCTTCCATCTACAAATGTGTATACAGAAATATAATCTGATGCTAGAAATAAAATTCATGAATAAATTAGCACTAAAAGTGCAAGATCCCTTGCTAGTGTACAGTAATGTTAAACTTTATGAAAGTTCCAACCCTCAGACTATGATATTACCAAAGTCATCTCTCATGATGACAGTAACCCACAAAGACACAACAAAATAGTTTCTTCCCATAAATTTCTATATTGTTGTGTTGATTACTAATATTCTGCAAGTTGCCGCTCATCATTATTTACCTCTAGTCTATATGTACATAAGTACATATTTGAGAAGATTTCCAAGGGTGGTGGTATATTCTAATATTAGTATAACCAAAATTGTTTTCCAGTATCTTTAATTGTGGAAAACGCTTACAATTGCAGAATATCTTTTAGGACATACCCAGTTCACAGTATCAAATCTTTAGAATTCCATGACCTGCATGTGATTCTTTTTTTTGTCCAACATATCTCTACTCCTAAAGGAGGAGTCTGCGGTTGTGATGGTACGTTCGTACGTCGTTCGCTCGTTCGCCTCCCCTTCGTTCGTTCACCACTCCTTCATCACACCCTCCCACGTGAAAGTCATACATGGAAACAATTCAAAAGAATCCAAACAATAATATGGAAACAAACCCAAAAAATCAGCACCATCGTAGCCTTCCTCCCACCCTCCTAGCCTGAGTACGTGCTAACAACAATTAGCCTTCCTCACCCTCGTAGTGCAAAAGTAATATATCTCTACT